AACTTTTTATTTTAAAAACAATCAAGCCCTGCTCATATTTAAAAAGTAACGCGAAAGTAACGCAAAAGTAATATAACGCATTACTTTCCATAAAAAGTAACTAACGAAATTAGTTACTTTTTTAGGGAGTAACGCAATATTGTAATGCATTACTTTTAAAAGTAACTTTCCCCAACACTGGTTATATTTATAGTTCTAGAACATAATTCGGGTTTGAATAGGTTAAAGATCTTGCTTGTATGCAATACATGTATAGAAATGTGCATAAATGCATCAAGATCTGTATTTTTTCTTCTTCTTTGCTTTCGTTGGATGTTTTTCCTATTCTTTATTAAATAATTCATGCCTCCTTTTACTCTAACCAATGACGTACCTCGTTTTGGGGCGAGCCCCCGCCACACAACCAATCAGAAGCGAGGAATCGGATCCGTGCCCTCGAGTGCATTGCGATGCGTGTCATGTGACAGACCTCTGCGAGAAATGCCAACATGGAACCGTGGCAAGGACGATGTTCTTCCCAACAATAACATTGAAAGGGACATCTGGATTCATCCTATGTCGCACATCCACAATCCGGACATTTCAATCCATATCTACACAAGGTAATGAGGCATACGTATATCGTTTTACGTTCGGTAAACCAAACCGAAGTCGATTTTGTAAACAGAGGGTCAGATTCGATCTAAATGACCCGACTTTGATGAACTTGACACCTGTTTCTGGGAATGTTGTGTCCGTGTTGTCCAAAAGTCGCTGTTTTTGTCGCCTGTGTGTTGGAGCATGTGTGCAGGCCTGTTTTCCTGCCCTGCTGACGCACTTTTGTGAAACACATGTCTAGTGCCTCGTGTGTGCGTGCGTGCGTGCGTGCGCGTGTGCGTGCGTGTGTGTGTGTGTGTGTGTGTGTGTGTTGTAGTTGAGCATTGCCGCTGTGTTGATGCGAGTTTGATTGTGTCGTTCCTCTTTTGATTGGTTTAGTGTGCATTGTGATTTATGTTGTGATTGTGAACAGCCCCTCCTCTTTCCACCCCATAAACCTCGGTGCTTTAATGTCTGCAAGCATTGTGATGATGAGCATGGGTGCATGTAAATATTGACCCCAGAACTGTTTGGACGCTTAATGCATTTTTTTCGTTGCATCAGATCAAAACGTCACACCAAGTGTAAGCTAACTTAACTAAATACAGACCAGCTGACCTTAAGGTGATTTTTATTGGATGTATGAATTAAGTTACGAATCAAAAGTTGTCCAAATAGTTTTCATATATGTGTGTATGTATATATATATTAGGGCTGCACGATAAATCGCATGCGATATTTAACGCGCATCTTGTCAGTAAAGCCATTCTGTAATCAGCGGTAAATCTCCATCACCTGCAGGCTTTCACATGGAGCAGCATTAACTACACAGAGCCGTTGTTCACTGACAAGCTGCGCAAAACCACGATCATATTTTGCGCATGTTTTGCGCAGCTTGTCGGTGAACAACGGCTTGGTGTAGTTAATGTTGCTCCATATGAAAGCCCGCAGGTGATGGAGATTTACCGCTGATTAAAGAACCGACTTTACTGACAAGATGCGTGTTAAATATCGCGTGCGATTTATCGTGCAGCCCTAATATATATGTATGTATGTGTGTATGTATGTATGTATGTATGTATATACAGGTGCATCTCAATAAATTAGAATGTCGTGGAAAAGTTCATTTATTTCAGTAATTCAACTCAAATTGTGAAACTCGTGTATTAAATAAATTCAGTGCACACAGACTGAAGTAGTTTAAGTCTTTGGTTCTTTT